AAATAACACGATACATTTGTAAATCGTTAATGTTTACACAATCTACAAATGATTTACAAATGTATCTGATTATTTCTCAATATGTTTCTTAGCTTTGAGTTAGAGAATGACACATGTAACCCAAACACAGCATTAAGGATTAAACTAGAGGTTGTTAGTGCTACTTCCCTTCACCTCTTGGTAAACAACACGAGACGCAGGTGGCGGGTGGCGGGGTGGACGGCATCTCCGTGTCTTGAGTGAGCACTTATCAATCAATACATCTTTGTTTCTAGAAATTTCAACAGATAAACGACGGATAATAACAGTTGCCATCATCAGAGTGGTGAAATGTGGGTACTTTTAGAACAAGTTGGAGACGGACTGTAGAGATATTCAGTGACAAATATATATATAGTTTTACAGCATCTGTGAAGCAAATACACCATAAACTAAAAAGCATATCACTTAATTAATCTCTCAAACACCATAATTTTCTCCTCAAGTCGCTAAGTGACAAGTTGAGCGAATTACAGAGACATGAAAGAGACAACTGAAGAATGATTATTGCAAAGGGAGCATCTCTATAAAGGTTGAATATTATCGAACCTTTTTTTCATTTATCTCAGTGAAATACCCTCAGCTATAACCTATAATAGTGAATTAATGTTTAAAACTTTATAAAAAAATGTACAAGATGTTTCTTTACCAGACACTAAAGTTCTATTACAAATTTTTACGCATAATTAACACTAAATTTCCCGGGTCACACTTTTTACGAAACGGCTAATAAATAAACAAACACAACTTATACGCTTGACAAAAGAAAAACACAGAGGGCATGTGTCGTTTTGTCTCGCATTCATAACGTTCTGACAAGCAGCACGAGTCGTTCTATATAAAGCCTCCCTGGCCTGTGGATTACCAGTCGAGTTATTACGTTACGGGTTGTCAGCTCAGACCTTGCACCGCCGTCACCCTTACTCGTTCTCCATACGCCATAGGTGAAGAGCATCATCTCTCACGTAATCTGCTAAAGTTTCAAACTATTTAACTTTTCTCGTCTTTCCCTTCAACTATAATCAATCATCATCTAAAAAAAACCCTAATTAACTCCATCTCTGTTATTTACACCGCTAAATTATCTCTCTATAGGCGAGTATCTTGGTTACATTATGAACCTTCTTATGCGAATAGTTCCACTGCTTCTATGTTTGGTTATATATCGATAAATAGGATGGTGTTTGTTAATGTCCCGTCTTATTTGCTCTGTGTGTGTTCCTTATGCACGCAGAGGTCAAGGGATGGGTCACGTAGTCACCTTTGTCCCTCTACCTGGGTGAAATAGGTAATTCAACTCGTTTTATATAATGTGTTTGACTCATTTTGCGCTCGATAAATTTAACATATTATTAACATTTAAATACAATGCCAAAAATAAGTAAAAAAAAAAGTAAATTAGTAAGTTTTCGCTACTTATACCAACACGGGTAAAAAATCTTAATTATGTATGGTTGATACTTTCTCCAGTCCTCTAGTCATACCATTATTGATACAACAGTTATATAGTGTAGTTATTACTTCTATTACTAATTATATGAATGTCAGTAAAAACAAGTAAAAACATCACTGTATTTGTAAGCTATTTTTTTTTAAGACTTAATTCGCATCGGCAGTGTTGGTGTAGTGCCGACACTGGCAGACACACCAGAACTAATGTAACGCCAACACGAGAAATCAACAACATCTGGCCCGTCTCTTCAACCTCGGAATGACATGCTTAGTGTTACCTCGCCAGACGAACGTTCGCTTGTCTTATGGGTGATTTTATTGTTGTTGTTGTTGTGTCTCCAGCCCTGCCATATCATCTCTGGGAATAAATCACTGTATCAACCGGGAACTAAATGCCTGATACACATTACTGCTACTGAAACTACGCTTATTGGTACCGACTGAGACCATTAGGCCATCCGTGACAGAGAGAAGGGAGACGATAAGAGAACAGTATTAAAAAAAAAAAGAAGATAAATACCTACACACACCTTTTACTGCCTGATAAGAATTCTGATGAGGTTTAATCGTCTGGAGGTATCACAAGTTCCTCTCTCCGTGGCAGGTGTGATCTTCGACATCATAACATCAGTGTAAAAGTTGGACGATTTTTTTTTTTATCTTTTTGTGTTTTCCTCCATGAACAAGAGTCTTCAAGTTGTTTTTAATTATAGTGTTTGAGTTATTAGTTTGTTTATTATTTACTTGTTTATATTAATGGTCTCTTGAGGATAATTATACAGTGTTGCTCCCCCAGTTCTTATAAACAGAGAGGGAAGAGACAGGTTTACTGTACGTAGGTGTAAAGTGATACTGTATTTGGCATCACAACACATCACCCTACCTGTCGTGATGGCGGCCAAGATCAGTAGCTGAGATGACACCAGTGATGAGGGGGGTACTGAGTGGCCCTTGTCCCTCCTCCACCACCTACTCCACCTACACCATCTCCACCATCACCACCACTACCTACTCCACCATCACCACCGCTACGAGGAGTTTCTCACTTGAACACACTCCTCCTCTCACCCTGGACACTTTCCAATTGTTTTTTTCTTCACTTGACCTGGCAGGTGCTCAGGTGTTTACGGTATTCAAAAGTGATTGTCTTCGCTTCCCCGTTTTGTCTTGTTTTGTTCTTTACACGCCAAGATGTGTGTGTGTGTGTGTGTGTGTGTGTGTGTGTGTGTGTGTGTGTGTGTGTGTGTGTAGATTTATTGTACGTGTGTATGATCGTCTTCCCCCTCACATCACCAGGCCTCAGGTATACACTCATCAGATACACATTGGCTGGTCGTCAGTACTTGTGGTGCCTCTGGTAATTACTATACACACCTTTCTATTATTTTTTCACTTATGCCTTTGGACTAAAAAAAAAAAAGTATTTATTTTATTCAGTTATTAGTTTATATTTGTCAAGCTAAATAGGGATAACTTGTTTTCTTTTAACTTACTGAAAAGGCATTCATATATGTAGTAAAATTTACTCTGTTTTTGAGACGTCGTTTACCAGTATAAGAAGGTTAGGTCAGGTCAGGTTAGGTTAGGTTAGGTCTGTCTGTCTGTCTGTCTCTGTCTATCTTTTTCAGTCTGTATCTCTATATGTTTATCTGTTTGTTTGTCTCTATTTTTGTCTGTTTGTCTGCCCCCTCCTCTCTCTCTCTCTCTCTCTCTTTCTCTCTCTCCAACCTAACCTAACCAAACCAAATCTAACCTAACCTAACCTAACCTAACCAAACCTAATCAAACCTAACCTATAATCAATACCAATTACACAAAGCCAATTCTGGTACGTCTTTAACACACCTTCCTCCTATGGCCCTGTACACCATAGAATAGTTGTGGTATTACCCTTTTAAGCGCCTCTGCAGCTGATGACAGGAACGACAGCACACACACAGCTATAGATACATTTACCATTGGTTGTATTAGACAAGAGTATACACCTAGTGACTCATACACGTCAAAACGAATCACTCTCTCAAAATGGAAGGTGTGTGTGTGTGTGTGTGTGTGTGTGTGTGTGTGTGTGTGTGACTCAAGACAAACAACTGAGGGGGGAGGGGAGTGTCAGTGGTGGCAGGGGGATGACATTAGTGATTCATCAAGACCTCACATCAACACAGCGAGGGAAAAAAGGTCTTCAAGCACTCTCACCTACGCCTAAGTGTTTCTCTGTGCTTCCTGCTCTCATTTGTGCTTCCTTTCCTTCTGCTTTCGCTTGTTTGTCTTTCCTTTCTGTTTTTTTTAAATTCTTCTTTCATTCCTGTTTTGATTTGTGTTTGTTCCCTCCTGCCTTCACTACTCTCTCTCTCTCTCTCTCTCTCATGGTTACGCAGGTGTCACTAAAGATCAACCTTGATCTCATTGTCACAGGAAGTGGTCGTAGGCAGGTGTGTGTGTGTGTGTGTGTGTGTGTGTGTGTTGTCACGTCCAGGACTTATTGGACGTCAACACACTGTTAAATTATGTGTCTGTGTCTTGGTGTGGTGGCGGTGATGGTGGTTAAGGATTGTTGTAGGGTGGTGGTTGTTTTGGTGGTAGTGTTATGGACGGTGGTTAGTTATGATGGTGGTGGAATGGTTGATAATGAAGGCAGTTATGGTTGGTAGAAAAACAATGGTGATGGTGGTAATGTTATGGGAATGTGTGTGTGTGTGTGGGGGGGGGTTGTAGTGGTAGATTGAGTGGTGTTTGTGGGGGTGTTGAGATGGGCGATGGCAACTTCTATGGAGGGTTGGAGGTGGAGGAGGTGGATGGGACTTCAGTGGAGGGGGGTGTTGGTGGAGATGGCGGTGGTAGAGGAGGGGGCGTTGGATGGGGTGTGGCAGTGGTAGGGGAGGGGGTCGATGGTAATGGGGTTGACGGTGGTAGTGGTTGGTGGGGTGGTGACAGTAGCGTGGGTGGGTCGTGGGTGGTTGGTTAACTGCACGGGCCACACAGAACAGGTAACTCTTGGGCTGCAGTTTCCTCGATATATCTAATTTATGAGCCCGGCGGTGAGACCCACATTGCTCTACACACACACACTGGTTTACTGTGGTTTATTGGGGGGTTTGTTTTGGCATTTATTCTCCCCAGTGACCGGCAGAGGATGAGGAACCTGATGGACGCTATCCAAATCTTCCAACTCTTGCTCTACTTCGCTTCTCTCTCTCTCTCTCTCTCTCTCTCTCTCTCTCCACTCTTTCTCCACTCTCTCTCTCTCTCTCTCTCGCTCTCTCTCTCTCTCTCCTTCTTATATACACAATTACAACTTCCGGCTTACAGGAATGGCGTCAACCTTCCGCCTCTATAAAATTAAGAACCTCTTGACCGAACACTTTTTATACCACACGTCTTAGAGATAATGCGTTCAAAGATGGAGTCTTGCATTCGTACTTGGCATAAACTTTTACGAGAATATTTACGTTTGCTCATGTAACTGTTTGTACTATAACTATAAATCATGAATGTTTTTTTTTTAACGTTTATTTACAGAGACAATTAATTAGCGGGAAAACACAAAACACAATTTGAAGAATAGCGAGAACAGACGATGTAAATTTTCCTGCCAGAGACGAGCGGCTCAGCACACTACACATTAGAGGAACTATCATTAATGTCCAACCATCTCCTTGGTATTTTATGGGTGATATTTGTGCACCATAAATCGTGGGAGTCTTCCTGAAGGGTGATATTGGTGTAGTGGGCGTTACCATGGAGGGTGATATTGGTGTAGTGGGCGTTACCATGGAGGGTGATAATGGTGGAGTGGGCGTTACCATGGAGGGTGATAATGGTGGAGTGGGCGTTACCATGGAGGGTGATAATGGTGGAGTGGGCGTTACCATGGAGGGTGATAATGGTGTAGTGGGCGTTACCATGGAGGGTGATAATGGTGGAGTGGGCGTTACCATGGAGGGTGATAATGGTGGAGTGGGCGTTACCATGGAGGGTGGTGGCGTTACCATGGTGTTGGTGTAGTGGGCGTTACCATGGAGGGTGATATTGGTGTAGGGCGTTACCATGGAGGTGATAATGGGCGTTACCATGGAGGGTGATAATGGTGTAGTGGGCGTTACCATGGAGGGTGATAATGGTGTAGTAGGCGTTACCATGGAGTGATAATGGTGGAGTGGGCGTTACCATGGAGGTGGTGGAGTGGGCGTTACCATGGAGGGTGATATTGGTGTAGTGGGCGTTACCATGGGGGTGATATTGGTGTAGTGGGCGTTACCATGGAGGGTGATATTGGTGTAGTGGGCGTTACCATGGAGGTGATATTGGTGTAGTGGGCGTTACCATGGAGGGTGATATTGGTGTAGTGGGCGTTACCATGGAGGTGATAATGGTGGAGTGGGCGTTACCATGGAGGTGATATTGGTGTAGTGGGCGTTACCATGGAGGGTGATATTGGTGTAGTGGGCGTTACCATGGAGGTGATATATGGTGTAGTGGGCGTTACCATGGAGGTGATATGGTGTAGTGGGCGTTACCATGGAGGGTGATAATGGTGTAGTGGCGTTACCATGGAGGGTGATAATGGTGTGGGCGTTACCATGGAGGTGATAATGGTGGAGTGGGCGTTACCATGGAGGGTGATAATGGTGGAGTGGGCGTTACCATGGAGGTGATAATGGTGGAGTGGGCGTTACCATGGAGGGTGATTGGTGGAGTGGGCGTTACCATGGAGGGTGATAATGGTGTAGTGGGCGTTACCATGGAGGGTGATAATGGTGTAGTGGGCGTTACCATGGAGGGTGATATGGTGTAGTGGGCGTTACCATGGAGGTGATAATGGTGTGGGTTACATGGAGGTGATATTGGTGTAGTGGGCGTTACCATGGAGGGTGATAATGGTGTAGTGGGCGTTACCATGGAGGTGATATTGGTGTATGGGCGTTACCATGGAGGTGTAGGTGTAGTGGGCGTTACCATGGAGGGTGATATTGGTGTAGTGGGCGTTACCATGGAGGGTGATATTGGTGTAGTGGGCGTTGGAGGTGATATTGGTGTAGTGGGCGTTACCATGGAGGGTGATATTGTGTAGTGGGCGTTACCATGGAGGGTGATATTGGTGTAGTGGGCGTTACCATGGAGGTGATATTGGTGTAGTGGGCGTTACCATGGAGGGTGATATTGGTGTAGTGGGCGTTACCATGGAGGGTGATATTGGTGTAGTGGGCGTTACCATGCGTTACCATGGAGGTGATATTGGTGTAGTGGGCGTTGCCATGGAGGTGATAATGGTGGAGTGGGCGTTACCATGGAGGGTGATAATGGTGGGTGGGCGTTACCATGGAGGTGATAATGGTGGAGTGGGCGTTACCATGGAGGGTGATAATGGTGGAGTGGGCGTTACATGGAGGGTGATAATGGTGGAGTGGGTGGAGTGGGCGTTACCATGGAGGGTGATAATGGTGGAGTGGGCGTTACCATGGAGGTGATAGTGGGCGTTACCATGGAGGTGTGAGTAATGGTGGAGTGGGCGTTACCATGGAGGGTGATAATGGTGGAGTGGGCGTTACCATGGAGGTGATAATGGTGGAGTGGGCGTTACCATGGAGGGTGATAATGGTGTGAGTGGGCTTACCATGGAGGGTGATAATGGTGGAGTGGGCGTTACCATGGAGGGTGATAATGGTGGAGTGGGCGTTACCATGGAGGGTGATAATGGGGTAGTGGGCGTTACCATGGAGGGTGATAATGGTGTAGTGGGTTGGAATGTTTACTACCTTTGACATCTTGCATCGTAGACGTAACATTTTCCACGGTGAAGCAGACCTGACTTGGTGGTATACCGTCATAACAATTCCTATCTCAATATTTACGTGACCTAAATTGAACTAAACTGTAGCTATTCTAAGTACCTCCTCCCTCCCCCAAAAAAAAAAAAAATTAACACAGCTCATTTGCATTTAACGAGGTGTTGTTACTTAGGGTTAAAATGAAGTAGTAGTTAACTGACGAGTTGGTTTTTGTTTTCTATGGGAATATATGGGATGGATATGAGATAGAAATGGTATAATCGCGTTGGTGTGTGTTGGTGTGCGTTGGTGCGTATTGGTGTGTGTGTTGGGAGGAGAAGGAAGAGGTATACTAGGTCGTGCTTAGCTACCGGTATCAACACACCACACATCAGCACCAACAACTTACTCCACGGTTCCTGCCACTCGTAAAACCAACACCTACAAGGCAGCAAAAAAAATAAAAAACCCACCGTCTCCTTTAACCGTTGGAACCATTACCCACACCGTAGCAACAACAATAACACTATCTTAGCATCTTCTCCCGGGTACAGATCATTACCATCAGCCGGCACTTGAAGGGATGGGTCTCAAAGGGGCAAGTATCTAGGGGTGATGGAGCATGGCGAGATATGAGATGCTCCCTCCACCACCTACCTACACCTTGTCAAGATTACCCCCCACACACTGACGCTGCCACACGTCCCCAGCACACGGACCACGTTCTTGATCGGTATCACAGCTGCGGGTACACATTATACACACAGTCGTCTGCATGGAGCGAAGTATCTTGCAAATCCCTTCATATTTTAGGCTTGTCCTCCCTGTCGCCTCCGTCTGTCTGACGTCAGAAATGAACTAAGAGGAATGTATTTAATATGATAATAATATGTGTGTGTGAGGTGTGTGTGTGTGTGTGTGTACGTACGTATATTTTACAGTCATTCTCCACGAGGAACAACACTCTACATCTGTTCTATATGACAGTAGCAGTATGGCTGATGTGTGTGGTCGTCTGTCATAGCAGAAGGTCGTCGCCCTTCACCTTTTGGACGCGACAACCTTGCCGGCTCCTCCTTCAATACCTTTACACTTACCCAAGGCCCCCACCTACCTGACGGAGACAGCTCGCCTCGCCCTGCTGGTCTGCTGACGAACTTATGAGGATAATTTGATAACGAATAGTTGGATTTGGGGAAAAAATTGGCATAACTTGTGGGTAGGTTAGTTTGGTGAGCGAGGGTGGAAGTTGGCAGTGGTGGGCAGGTGGTGTCAGGGAGTCACCATGAGAATCTTAGTTCCTCGCCGGCTGCTCAGACTTTTTTGTTCTTACTTCCCGAGACGAACGAGATACAACGAGAAGTTTGTCTGACTATTACTGAACCAAATCCAAGCTAATTTTCTAGGTCATATAAATTCCCGATTTGATTTAGCCTGATGGAAATACTTGACACGAAAGCGACCTCATTTTAACTCCTGTCTTGTGTGTTAGTTAAGTGTCAATTTGTTTAAGAATAATCGAACACCTAACCACAAACAAGATCGAATAATTACTTTTTAATATAATTGATACGAGATTACATAGGTCCTGATTTGATTAAGATTCACCGAGAGATTCTTAAAACAGATTTCTTCGCCTTAAGGTTATTTTTGGGAGGACTTCTGATTCTGGCCATTACCCGTGCAGAGTCGTCTTATCAAGCTAAGTTATCAGTTTTAATATTCCTATCCTAAAGATCTTCCTTAAATTCAATTCATTCTTACCAACACTCTTTACCAAGCTTATATATTTCCAATTAATCTTTTGGGTAGGACGAGGGAGTTAAACCATCATCATCAAAAAGGTTTAACTATCAGCCCTTAGATATAACGTTCTGGCTAAACTGCTTGTTAAACCCTCTTGGGAGACGCTGTACCTTCCCTATAATGTTGCTATTCCTTTATATCTTTCCCTCCATCGATGTTTTTTTGTTGTCTTATGATTATCTAAATTCCTCTTCTTCGCTCTTGTAAAGTTTGTCTTATCTTCTAGCTCGTGTTTGTGATCCTTGAATAATATTTGTTTGTCGTTTTATCAATGTTTTTGTTTTGATCCGGTCACGTCTGTTTCTTCCTCCACTTACATTAATTTTTTTATGTTGTCCTCTGCAAACGTTTATCTTCATTCTCTAACGTTTGTGTTTTCTTCTGGTAACGGTTTTTTGTCTTTCTCAAACAATGTTCGAGTCTTCCTCAAAATCGTTCGTATCTTCCTCAAAAACGTTCGTATCTTCATCAAAAACATTCGTATGTACCTAAAAATGTTCGTATCTCTCAAAAACGTTCTTATCTTTCTCAAAATCGTTCGCATCTTTCTCAAAATCGTTCGTATCTTCCTTAAAATCTCCCATATCTCTCAAAAACGTTCGTATGTACTTCAAAAACGTTCGTATATTCCTCAAAATCGTTCGTATATCTCAAAAACGTTCGTATCTCTCAAAATCGTTCGTATCTTCCTCAAAATCGTTCGTATCTACCTTAAACAACCTCTATGTCTCTCTCTCTCTCTCTAGTCACCATTATGTCACCCTACAAACCAGGAAGGTGCATCAGGTGGAGTGCAGCTCTCGTCACCTGTCCTCATTAAGATATCAAACACGTATTTACTATCACCTGCTGCATTTACGTCTCCGATTTATGAGATCTTCGGGAGCCAGACGTCAAAACGGAAGGTCGAGTTGGTGGTGAAGGTCGTTCCCCCAACCTGGTCTGTCTTGATACTTATTTGGGAGACTGTGTGTGTGTGTGTGTTGGTGATAAGGATGTTATCTCTTTGCTTATGGGACAGGAAAGAACCCTTGACCAAAGTTCATAATGACACAACTGCTTTATTGTCTGAAGGGTAAATATAAAACATCAGATACTTGATGTTTTAGGGGAGTGACGAGGATGTTGTTGTGGTTATAGGAGGAGGGGGTTTATAAGCGTTGAGTTTGTTCCAATAATGTCATCTTTTTTTTACCAGAACCCACACTATCACCCACAGTACATGACCCACACTATTACCCACAGACAGGCACCCGACCCACACTATCACAGACAGGTACACGACCCATACTGTGGTGACCCACACTATTACCCACAGACAGGCACCCGACCCACACTATCACACAGAGGCTGGTGGACGTTGCAAGAGCCGAGACATCCAACAAATTTAGACAAACATAACCTCTATCCTCTTATAATTGATTCAACTTTATTAATACCATGGTATGATTAAGAAATGTTTTGCATTTTATTAGATTAAGTAGAATTTAGTGGAGAAGTCTTTCATCTAATATATCAAGGAAGTAAATGGTATGTGGCAACACTGACGGGGAGAGAGAGAGAAA